TCATTGCGAGCCTTTTGTTCGTGACATCTTCCAAAATGAGCCGTGAATGATGATGCGAATTAACAAAGATGTACTGCATTCTTTTCTCTGCTGTGGAACAATTGGGATTCATTGCTGATAAATGATGATATTCATCTCCTTTTCTCTGCCTCTTTTGCACGTTTTGCTCTGTCTCGTCTCTCGGTCAAACATAAGGGATGCGTTTGTATGGAAACAGTGATCAATCGCGTTACCCATGAACCCTTGCTCCGCTGTGGGGTTAGGGCCACATTGAACGCTCGGCCATGATGGATCTGAACACATTCCACCCTTCCCCCGCCAGAGCTGTTTAGGCTAACAGCTGTCGGTTTGATAGAGAACAAGTGTCTTGTGGGATATGTGGTTTCTATGACGGCTGGAAATACAAACTCGTTCATCCTTATTTCTCTCCCTCGACAACGGCATTGTCTTTGACTCTCCTCTTTCATTTAAAAAAGACTGATCACTGCAGGCAGCTCAAACCTCGTTCGTCTTTTTGAGCCTGTGTTTGTTGAAGCCGATTGTTGATGGTGTGCATGTTTAGGCCTGGAGCTGAATGTCTGTGGGGGGGTCACCTCACAGTCAGAGATATGGGGGACCAAAACATATGTTGCTGAAGGAATCACAGAGCGGTCAACTCCTGGGTGAGGTTAAGCGGGTGAGTCTTTCGTGGCTTCATATACTTCCGTGTGTAATAACAGCCTGCACTGACTTGTGTGAACAATATACATCCACAGCTGTATATCTGGTTCTCACACACTGGATGTTTCAGTCCCAACATAACCTGTTATCACATAAAACAATCTAAAGAGGTGCTCCTTGGCTTTGGAAGTAATTGTTGCAATAAGTAAGAATGCTAGTTAGCCGGGCATGCTAATGATTGCAGTTTATGATTAAGAAGATAAACATATGGTTTAATCTAGTTCTTATACTTTTGCTTTTGTGCTTTTGGTTTTGGAAAGGCTACAGAAAGACATGGAACTCTTTGAATGCACAGTATTGCTCTTACTACAGTCCCATGCACAGCGATCCTGTTTTGGGGATAGGTTTAGCGAAAGTACAATTAGACTAACAAAAGCATTGCCACAGACCTGTTTATAGCCAAACAGTTTCAACCAGAGGCTCATGAAGGTTAATAAAGACCATTGATAGCTATACATTTTTACTGGTCAAAATGTCCTACAGGCTTTTTCTTTTTGCAGTTTTTAGTTTATCCATGTGGATTTGTTGGCTGTCACTTTTAATTTGCACATCACACAAGAATTTGCATCTTCACACTTTGAGTGTCACAACTTGTACTTGCAATGGTACATTTGTGCTTGCTTTAAAGCATAAAGTCAGCATCTATACTGAATAGTTGCCCACACATTCCTATATGCTTTGGGTCTTTCTTTAGCGTTGTTGGTGTGCGTGTGTGTGTGTGTGTGCACTTGATCTTTCAGCCTCAGGTCCATGTTCACATATCCTGAGCAGGAAACATCATGTTAGCATCTCCTTCCCTTTGCTTTCTTTTCATTCTGTGACTTTTTTCAGGAAACCAAATAAATTACACACAACCTTGTACTCCTATCTTTACGAGGACACTCATTGACATAAAGCATTCTACAGCCCCTTACCCTGAACATGACCATCACAACTAAATGCTTGACTCCAACCCTTAACCTAAAAATAAAATGTAATTTTAACATGAACATTAAAACCAAGTCCGAACCTTCAAACAGGCCTTTGAAGATCCGTCCCCACTTTCTATAAATGTCCTCACTCTGAAGGTCTAAAAATCAATTGGTCCTCACAAAGATAGCTCAACAAGTGTAGACACACACACACACACACACACACACACACACACACACACACACACACTTCCCTGTGTGGTTTTCCGCATGTTCAGCCAACGTGTTTCCTATTAACTTCCATTCAGCTGGCTGGTATTAAGTTGTTCAAAGATGTATAGTCGAGAGCCTCAAATCACACCGGATTACCCACAACCTCCAAGACCAAATCAACCGGGATATTTGTTGTCCAACGTGGTTATGTTCTCTGTCTCAGCTGATTTGAGTTGAAGGCTGCTGTGTTGTTTTCGTGTGGTCACTATTTTACTACTTTGTCCTGTATTTTGGGTGTTTAGTTGACCATTACGTTCAGTGCAGGTGCACAGTAGGTCTCCAACAACAATTGCAAACAGCAGAGTGTTAAGTTTGAAGTCACTCAGTTACAAATTGTGTTGTTCCCTGAATGTGGAAAACAAAGAAGTCAGATGCAAAAAGGTGGAGCAGGAACAGACAACAGGTCACAATACAGGAACAGTTACAGGTACACTTGGTTTAGCTTAGTCTCCTAAAATTTACATTCCCAGACAACAAAACTGCATCGTTAATTATGTTTGGACAGAAACGTATTTTCTCCTGGATGCCGCTTTTACTCATTTTATGCCAAAACAAGATCTTTTTTTTCAATTCACAGCCATGTACTTCAAACTGAGAAAATATATTTCCCTCAAAACGTAATTGAAAATACAGTTTAGTTGGATGGGGATTTCATTTTTAGGAGACACCATTGGGTGGCTGGATACAAAGGCTATGAGCATCATAACATAAATGATCAATCTGGCAGGGAATCAGTGGAAATGATACGGTTATAGACTGCAGGCCTAATGACGGAAATGGAAACAGTTGAGCAGGTAAATGAGAGAGTCAGGTGGGAAAGTCTAGCCTTTGGCATGCTGTACAACGATGAACGTTATGGAAGTGCTTTGCTTAAAAGTCAAACACTCAGGCCTTGACAGTCCATAAGTTCAACACCATCAGTTTGATTTTAATGAAAGATGAATGAATGAAGATGATGCATCAGCCAAAGAGTTCCTGCATCACCTTTTGTCCTTTATGTGCTGACTGAAAGCACACACAGTTTAACCTATTGTACTGTGTAGCATAATAATTGTGTAGTGGCAGTACACTTACACACACTTCATATATCCTTGGCTGTCTCCTTGAACTCTGTGTGAGGTCCTGTACCATTTGTGTCAACATTTTCTCTGCTGCTTCATCTGTTGATACGTATCTTCATCAATCTGTGCTTTTATTGTTCTCCATTGGGCAGCGTACGTCTGATTCGGACTCTAATCAGCCCACTGGACTTATGTTATTGGTCACAAATGGTTCGTTTTATTTTATTTAGTTTTATTAAGAATATTTCACACACTGACCTGAGGCCTCCCTCTCGTTGTAAAAACCTCTAAATTGCTCTGCTGCCCTGGATCAGAGCAACATGTCAGTACAAATACGTACCGATATTCTGTACATATGTCGGCCACCTCCATCATGGTCGGGTCTCAGCTGAGTAAGCACAGTGTAGAAATCCCATAATCGTTTCTGAATGTGCCCAAAACGGCCAAACACGCAACCCCTGCCCTCTAAACTGCTTGGTCCACGTCCAAAACCATGTCTCATGTTCCATGTATATATCCACACGGAGGTCAGAGGTAAGAACTGTACCGTGAAATGAATCCGCTCTACATAGTTCTATTTTATTAGAGCTGACAGCTTTATGACGCTACATGGGCTCCCTGGTGCTGTGGACGAGTAATGAACCAGCACAAATGAGTACTTCTGAAACCTCAGGTGTTGGAATATCATACAGGGATGTTAATGGCCATTACATGTGCCTTTCCTCTTCGCTCCATTCTGGAAAGAGATTTGCGGAGCAGGTTTCAGTTCTAAGGTGGAAAATGTCAAGCGATAGTCCTGTTGAATTATTCATCAGGCCTCACAAAGGTTGTTCTGTTGCAGTGCTAGACTGTTTGCGTGAGGTTTTGGCCATGTGAAGCCTCTCTGCTTGAGCTGGATTATACTGGTGAACCCAGAGCAGGAAGTCTGGTCTCCTGTGATTTATTTCTCTCCGTGGAAAGAGAGGTTGCACGGTCTGTAGCACAACTTAGCCCACCTGTCTAAGGTGGGGTGCAGCCACTTTTTATTACCATCAAAATGAGAACGTAACTCCATATGACAGTCACTGAAAGAAAGACATTTCTTCCCCTTGGTATTTTCCACTTCAAAGCTGCTTCAAGTGACACTTGAGTTATTACCATTAAACCAAATGACTCCCTGTAATGTGAAATAGCTCGCTCATACTGCTGAACCCACTAAGAATCAACAACAGGAGTTTGACACCGGGGCTTCTTGCTGAAACGATGGATGCTGTCGTTCTTCTTGGGAGGACAGTCAATTAACTTGCCAGAAAAAAATGTTTGGTCTTTATTTTGATAAAAAGAACAAATAATTCGGACAGTGTTGTGTTTCTCTTTGCTGTTGCAGATTAATAGCATATAAACGTAACTTCTAGGAGACAGGGTGACCTCATAGACTGTGTGGTTCTCACCAACGGCTCCGTACCAAACAGCTTACAGTCAAACAGAACGCAGAGAGGAGGTCGTGTGGCTCAGGCTCTAGCTGTTTGGTGACACCAGGAAGATGCTTGACATCCTGAATTCATTTTCTTTATATATGTTGACATTATATGTGTATTGTTTTTGTCATTTGGATTGTCTATACTGTAATTCTATTGTGTTCACTCTGTACACGTGACATTTATTGCATGTCTGGAGTTCTTATCCGACGTGAAATTTGTGATATTTGGGTGTATATATAAAATTGACTCGATTGAAAGCCAAAAGAAACCGGTCCCTGGTGAAGAAAGTCTAACATCATCTTACTCCGGTGTCGGAATAACAAGTTGAAGCTAAAAGGAAAGGAAATACTGGAATAGGGTGGGCAGATACTCGAAGCCACAGGGATGCTCATGTTGCTCCATGTCTGCTGGATGTGTTAGTAGATATTTGTTTGCGAACAGGACAGCCATCACAACTTGATAAGCCCAACACCCAATTAGTGTTGAAACATCTCTGGCCCCTAATGAGCAACTAAATGTTGCTTTAAATCAATTAACTATACAAAAAAAAACAACACAGTTTTTGACAGATGAAATACAGACACACTGACTTTATTTCATAATACTTTATTTAAAAAGGGTTTGAGTATCACAGTGAAAATAGAGCCTCTTGGTTTATAAAGAGTGACAATACATCTCACGTATATGAAGAATATGTGTCGGAAGCTGCCTCAAAAGATATATATTTCACATTGTCTCAGGGTCCAAAGTAGAAGACTTTGCACACATTTTGAGTGATTTATTAATATACGATCAATGCGAACCTGAATTTGTTTTTGGTCCAAATAATAAACAAAAAATTTCTGTAAATGCACAATGATCAGTTTGTAATTGTCTGACACTAATTAGTCACACTAAATATTCTCTGCAGCGACAGTTCAGTGAGTGACAATAAACATAACAGAAATTCAATTCTAATTAATAAAACGAATTACCTGTTCTTACATATAATGTAATAGGTTTGTTCCTTTTATTGAGATAATTATCACGTTTTATATTAGAAAGGTTTAAGTTTACAGAAATAACAACATAATCTCTCTAAAGTATTTTGGGAATAGATGGCGGTTTTGTCATGAATTTACAAAATGAATAAAATTAGACTTATCATTGCATATCAGTGTGTCTGGAAACTGGAACGTTTTAACTTATTCAGCAATGTGTTTAAACAAATGAGTATAATCAGACAAAATGAGTGTCCATTAACTTCTATTAGTTTAATGGGAAAAGACTGACACTTATAGGTTATTGCACCATTAGCTGCAAATTGATATGAGTATCACCTGTGATCAGGCACTCAGCAAACAGAACAGAACATAGACCTTAGAAATGAACACAAACAACAGGACTTGCATTACAATTTCGGGGAAACAAATGTTGCGGCATGGCAGCAGTTGAGTGGAAGTGGAAAGAAAGCCGGTGGGTTGCTGGGAGTGTCCAGATTGAAAGCACATGTTGGTCGCTGGGATCTCAACTCAAACGTGTTACGTTTTGGCTCAGTGGCTCTATTGACACATCATACATCAACCTCAGTAAAACTATAAAAAAATCGAGTGTTCAATGGAGGCGACTGGTGGGCCGAAGAGTTTCCTGCCACATGTCACACAATGACGGCGGCTTTTGTTTTCAATCACTGTGTGTTGACCGTAACAGATTGTGTTCAGTTCACCGTTGTTACATCTCAGATTGGTTGATAAGGAAACAATACGGAGAAACAACAACAAAGAAGAAGGACGATATTTGATTTGATTTGCTATTTTTTCTTTATAAACGTTAAGAAAATGATTTTAAAAAAGTAATTCAGTGTTGAATACTGTGGAGTAACAAACCATTACACGTGTATTGCATGACATCTTAAAAATGAAGCTTAATACTGTTTCTTACATCTTAAGGGCTAGCCTTCATTTAGTAGCTACTGCCTACTGTACATTGCATTAAAAAGCATTTAGTAAGATTATACACAATATAAAAATAAAACAATTACATTTAAATTGACACATCTGATAATAAAGTGGCTCAAATATATATAAAAAGACTAATCGAAAACTTTCTTTTTGCCACAGTGAACATTTCCATTGTGATATTTATCATCATCTGTTTCATGTGACAGTTATTTAGCTTTTCATTCCTCCCAAGGACGGGTGTCGGTATGAAAATACTGCAGTTGAATTGCTCTGCTGTCATGATATACATTCACAATTAGTCCGTTTGATGAGTTGAGACAATGACAGTCTTCTACTCCCTTTTTCTAACAATGAATGAAATGGAGAAGTCATGCTTTCACAGGTTTCTTCACGTTACATGTGTTACTCTTCAAATATTTGGTCTCTGTTTACTGATATGTTCAGTAACAAAAAGTATGCATTGATAAGTGTTTCATTCCCTTGTAGTATTCATCAGTACACCATGGCCTTCACATAAAATCTAACAACAGCGCTTCAAATATTTTGTGACTGGTAAAAAACATAACATAGAGGTCACAATATCACATTCTGAATCTTGCATATAATAAACAGTGAAATATAATTATGTCAATGGCTCTGACCCCTTATACTGAATATATATAGCGCCTCAAGATCAGTGCTTGTTTCTTCGCAGTGTGTTTGAGCTTCCGTCTGTTTTGTTCCTGATGCTGGAGCGAGTGTGACGATAATTCAAGATACTGTTGTGACACGGCCTGCCCTGATTGGTCACTGCTTGTGAAGGTGTAACCCCACTGGACAGCCTCTGCTACTGCCCCATGACCCCTCAGTCAGGGAGTAATGCCACTTTCACTTGTTATCAGTGGACACTTTTCATTTAACACCTCCATCCGGGGTAGGCTTTTTGTTTTTCTTAGGAAAGTATAATATCTAGATTAAAAAGTAGAAACATGTTGACAGTAGTCACTCTTTAAAAACGGTTTATGTTGAGATATTACTATGAATTCAACTTGGGTGGATTGGTGTTTGTAAATGATACGCGTCTTTAATAATTAACATATACTGTAGGACAGCCAACAAAAATCCCGATCGGAATTCCTTCTCGGAGACCGATGTGAATATTTTTTTTCCCATGACGTGAAAGTGGCATTACCCACAAAGCCTTGCCTGAGACAGAAAGCTCAAGTTGTTTCTCTCTGGCTGTGTTAAGTGAGAAAATACTATATACAGACGCACATTTAGAGTTAGTTTATATGTTGCACATTCAAACACACACACGCACTTTCTCTGTCGTGCTCAGCACTCACACACATATATCTGGCATTAGCATGCGTCCCGCCACCTCGAGGTATAATTGCACTTGGTGCTAACATGGAGAGTTGGAGGGGACTGCGTGGGTGTCCAGAGGGATCGGTGGCGGTGCTTGAGACGGCACGGTTTGGCGGTGAAGTGCTGGTTCTGCAAGCGGTCCAGAGAGGGTGGACGGGTACATACAGCGTGTTTATATACATCCATAGCAGTGACAGGTAGGTATACAGGTTCGACTCCGGAACGCCATGCCTGACGACATACATGTCTTCCCCTTGTGTTTAGTTTTTCTTGTTATTGCGTCTTCTAGATTTCTTCACCCTGGAGAGACACACAGATGGATAACTTGTATGTTAGCCTGAAAAGACAATAAGGTCATTGTGTCTATTCTTTTGCTGGACCAGATGAGGGAATCAGTACTGGGCAAAACCAGTAGATTCACTGAAAATGTTGTTGTGGAATTAAATCGAATCTAATGATTAAACATGATGTCCTGCATAACTATTAAAACCCCACAAATGTCAGTTGATAATTAACCCAATAAACCCAAACTTTCCTAATATTTCCACTCACTTTCCCTTTAAAATGACTCCCAAACCTCCTCGCTGAGACTTATGTGCCGTACATAAATGTAGCGCAAACTACACTAGAGAAATGCTGCCGTGGTACATAATCCAGGCAAAGAAAATGTGTAGCGTATAAATGTAATTTCTAGGAGACAGGGTTGCTCATGCACATCTGTTCGTATCAGAGCAGACAGGGACATGTCGGGGGCCTCAGTGTGTTGGCGGTTTTGATAGGTGAACAGATTTATATGCAACTGTAACGGAGCATGAAAGAAGGTGATGCTGGACAAAGACAAGCCGTACTATCAAGAAGGTCAGTCTATAAAAACGGTGAGTAAGAAAAGGTCAAGTTGCGATTTCGATCTCTACATACAATGTGTGCTGTGCCACATGCTGGCTTCAATAAGCCGCGATAAGACTTGATTTTAAAAGCACTTCTGTGTGTTCTACACTAACGCGGTAAATATAGATCCTCAGAAATTACTTTATTGTTTGTTTTCACATTGTACTTCAAGTGTTTATGGTGTTTTAAGAAGCAGACATGCAGCCTGGTGATAATCACCACCAGACATGTTGGGAGCATTTTTTTTTATGAGGAATGCACACATTTTAACTGCTCGGCTCATTAAAAATTGAATGAGCTGCTGCAGTTTTTTTTTTTTTTTTTTAGTATTTACCCACAATGCTGCAATTCGACCGGGACAACTCTGATGCTGATGTGCAATTAGTGATGATAATTGTATGGAAAATGCCTCTTTAAAAAAAGCCATGTTAAAAATACAATAAATACATGGATGTGGTGCATTCACTGTGAGCGAGCTGAGGGGGTAAAATTGATGAACATTTGATTACTCTGCAGCTTTCTAAAGTCACAGAAACTTATGAGAAAAAAGGAAGCAGACAAACCAGTGGCCTGATTCATCACTATTCTTTCTTCACGCTAATTATTTCACAGATAATAACTCAGCTGCTTACATCAACCATGTCAGCGATTTCAGAGAGAATATGCCGGCGGGAAACTGAGAGATGACCATTTGTAACAGTGGTTTATTTCTTCTCTGTTGCCTCTAAACTCTAGCAGAGAAGAGAGCTGTGTTTCATTTCTGTCTCTGTCCGCGATGCTTGTGTCTGCGCAGAGAGAGTGAGGGGCTTTTCCTCTTACTTGTTAATGGCGTTCTTTAAGTACTGCTGCAGCCACTTGGTCTCCGGGTTGATGCAAACCTCCCTGTTGCTCTTCAGCTTGGCACTGTTGGAGAAAAAAATGTGAGGGATTAGACGCCACATTCGGAGCATTTCTGCAAAATGTCTTCGCTTACAGGCTTGTTCATGTGAATCAGGGGAGCGGAGATCCAGAGAAAGCAAAGAATTTCAGCCTAATCCAAATTTGCATGAAATAAATCAGGGTCAAAGACTACTGGAGAATATCTTCATTTCGTAGCTGAACGTCCGGTGATGTTGGACAGAAGATAGATTCTATCTATTTTATTAGCTGCGTGGTCAACCGGTGTGTAACAAGACCTCACAGCAGCCTCAAGGACAACATTTGGCAGTTTAATTAACCCAGATTCTAAGAGAAGCTCCTTAGCTTGGTTCTATTTATTTCTCATGTAAAGGCATTTTAAGGACAACATGTTTAGCTCAGCAGCTATGAGTCAGAGATGTAAATAAAGTTCATTATTATAGTACTTTAAATTTGATGATTGTTGAACATTTTCCAAAGCAGGTTTTTTTCTTTTTTAATCTGACACTGTAGCCCCCCTCAGATAAAAAAGATGACTGAAAACTAATATAATAATGTATTTTATTTTTCATGAAGGCCCACTTCAATAAAAGCTCAACTTTATCTCCAAAAAACCCACAAAAGTCTTACAACACATCCCAGTTTAAACCAGAGGATTATTACGTCTAACAAGCTGTCACCTTAACATCACGAGTCAAACAATCACACTGGTGCTTCTAAATTTAAAGCTAACCTGCATTATTTTATAACGTAAAATAGAAATATCTGCTCTGTTTAGGGTCGGATTCCTGCTGAATGAATCAAAGGACTTTGATGGTAAATTGAGCACAATATGTCAGGATAATATCTGATATAGTTTATGAAGGCTGAGCTCAGAAACACCTCAGCTAAGCTCCAAAAGCTTCGGCACATCCTACAACACATCCGAGCTGAAAAGCGAAGGATTACTGCGCCTAACAAGCTGTCACCCTCCGGTCGACAGTGAGAAATCACAGCTTTCTGTTTCCACTCAGGGACAGCTGGAGGGGAGGCTCTCATCGCCAATCACACTTGTAAAGCTGTCCCTACACTGCACACCAAACGCCGTAAAACCGTATTTTGATGTAGAGTTTTTAGGGGAGAGAGTTTTGGTCAGGCTGGTTTAAAAGACACTGAATTAGGGGACACACCTTACATTGAAAGAACTACCACAATTATTTACAAGACACTGGAAAACAGCTAAAGCTCTTGGTATTGGTACACATCTTTTTAATTAAAAGTTAAAATACAATTTAAACAGTGAAAATGTAAATTCTCCTACGAAAATTTGATTTTAACACTCAGATGTTGATCGATATTTTCTCTTCAGGATCAGATTTGCAGCTTAAGACTGAAGCAGGAGGAGCTGCAGCGATTTCAAAATGAGAACACTTGTGCGTTGAAGCGAGTGATGACCTGTTGATGGAGAGCTGAGCCAAATATCTAGGAGAGGATTTGTTCTGTTATCAGACGCTGCTGGGAGAGTGTCAGATCTGTTGGGGCGAAAGGGGAGGACGGGCAGTGGGGTCTCGCCACCCCCCTCCAAACATGTGGATTTCACGGTGGCAAAAGGTCGTGTATGAGAGTTAACAACTCAGGAGGTGTCACGCCTCACTGTTCCTCCTTCTCCTCCCTCCATCTCTCCGTCACACGGCTCTGCAAATTAAACGCATTCCTCTGTGCCTCCTCGCAGCTCTCTCGTCAGTGCGCTCTGATTCAATTTAAACCCCCATACTCTCCTCCTCAGTCCCTCGCTACCATTTAATACCCCACCTCCCCTATTCTTCACCCCATTTAGATGCACACACCCGAGCAAATGAGCAAATAAAGTTAAAAGAGCAGTTCAGGAGCATGAATCCAAGCATCAGCCCCATACTCATCCGCTCAGGAGCTCTCTGCTGTTTATCTGTCTGCTTGTCTGGATGACCAACTGAGAGCCTAAACCCTAATTGACTTGGCTGGAATTTGAGTTCCACAAGCAGCAGGTAGTAATTACTTCACAGCAAGTTAATACCAACAGCATGCTGGGACGGGTGGATGGGGTGAAGCAGGGGTAGGATGAGGGCGCACGGTGGTGCAGAGGGGTAAGGGAGGGGGACAGCGGGTATAGTGTTACTGGCTTTCTTTCATCTGCCTCAATAGAGATATCAGAGCAACTCTGCAAGCTCCTCGTCTGAATGACTTCTTGACTCCTCCGGCAGTTTTCTGGAGGAAGTTTAAAGGGAGTTTGTGTCCCGGCTGGAGCGCTGTGTGTCCTCTTTGACCCTTTGCCATTCGCTCACCCCTTCTAACAGTCATTAGCCCCCTCCCGTTCTGGCAGAAGCCCCTCTTGCCTTTTGGCTGTGAGGCTTCTGCTGCACAGTTTTCTATAGCGAACAAATGAATGAGGCCTTTTAGTTAATGTGTTTCAGACTGGTGACAATATACTCCATGTTGCTGGGCAGGGAAATAAAAAAAAAAGTGGATAAGGGACACAAGAGGTCCGCAGAAATACAAAGGTAATCACTCTGACCCTTAATTATTGCTTCCTTAGCAAAACATGAATGTCCGCATGAGCTCAAGCCGTTACCGCTTTCCTCTTTCTGAGAGGACCATGTTGTTTTAAACTCAGGCCTCTCATTAGGAAAAGAAAAGAAGAAAATGAACACCATAAACTCACACTCTCACTATATCGGCACTGTTTTTACTTATATTTATGTAGCGTACATTTGTTTTAACATACCAAATAATGGTGAAAAGTGAGGGAAATAAAACGTAAACACATTAAACAAAATGAGGATAATAAAACACCAGGCTTACAACAATGATTAGATGTCATGTGACACCTTTATCAATAACAAAATGGAAAGTAAATGGTGTAAACTCAACAGAATGGTGAAATGGTGTTGTATTGACACCTTTTCCAGCTGACACATTTCAATGCATTTTGAAGTGAATGTATGTGTGCATATGCGTGAGAGTATTGTCTCTCCATTATCATTCTAAAAAGAAAGTCAGATTCTTGTTGGATGTTTTTTCATTAGGATAATTACAGAATTAATTTATTAATTATTAATGAACTAATCCAATTTAATCATATTTTTATGTCTGAAGGATTTCTGTAGCAAACATGTAAATATGTAGAGTTTACATATACGCTTTTATTATTCCTTACACCCTACTGCTGTTAAATGAACCGTTTCCCTGCATATCAGCATGAAGACGTTCGGGGTCGGAGGTCACACTCGCTCAAAGGCACAGCAAAGATATCAAATCACCCAGCGAGGATCAGACACAAATAAGGTTGACATAAAAAAGCCAACTATTTAATACTAACTCATGGACTTCCAGTAAAACAAAGACCTTAAAGTCCCTGAAAGTTATTTGTCAAAGAGTTGGACTATAGTTGGAGAGCGTCCATGGTCTGAAGGCAGCGCTGACTCTGACCTACACAGCTATTCAAATGCACCCGAATACACCATCTAAAAGAAGGAACTTGCGTGACAGAATCCTTAATATGATTAGCAATCGTTCACACTTTAGGAAATACGTTTCTTTAAGTTAATCACCACAGTCATTTCACAATCGTTCACTTACATGACTTGGAAGGGGCAGTTGGGTGTGTGGAGGAACTTGAGCTCTTTGATGGACCGCTGAGGGACCGTGTTGAGGGTGGAACGACACCAGCACCGCTCCACCAGACTGATGGGCTTTGCTGCAAAAACACAAAAAGGAATGTCACAAATTAGCATTAGCGGTAAAACTAAAAATAATAAACTACACGACAGGACATTTTTTATAAAGTTAAGTTAAATGATTCACTTTGTTTCAAGCTTAGTTAACACAACCTAACCTTAAACACGTCTTCGCCCTAAAATGTATTGATATATGTTGTGTTGACATGCATTTCGTCCCCATAAGAAAGGTGGGTCCCCACAAAGCGTGAACAGATTTATGTCCACACAATGTGAGTAACACACACACACACACACACACACACACACACACACACACACACACAACTGCTGCATTAAACTTATTATTTTTTAATGTAAAAACTGTGTAGTACTTCAATAAGTGTAGCAGAACTCTGACTTCCTTATAGATGACATTGTTAACTTGAGGAAGAAAACCTATTTTGAGGTTTTTGGAAGTTTTGATGATATTTAAGCATTTTAGGTTTTTTAAATGCAAATGTATTTTTCCTCATTGTGGCATTTCACAAAGAATCAACTCAATATATCAACTCAATATTTGATAATTCAGCGGTTCAGAAGTAGATAAAGTGACTGTTTTATGTTTTTTCTCTATTAACAATTTAAACATTTAATTGTTCTTGAAACAGAGATGGGGTCATTTTTGTTAAAGTGAGTTATTTAGTTCATGTGAGGATTTAAACATTAACATCAACTTAACTTATATTACAACACAGTAGCTTCTACTTCATTTCACTTAGGACTAAATGCATGACTTTCCTCAGCGGACAAATGGAAAGCGTGCGTTATCTACTGTTACATGGCTTTATAAAGCATGGGAGGGTATGAGTTTACCTGCTATTGCTCTGAACAACATGTTCATTAAAGGGAGATTAGCCCTTTCTGACCAGTCACACACTCACACACACATGCAGAATTTCAGCTTTTCACTCCGAGAGCATTCAGCACAGCCACTCTGATGGAGAAGGGTCCTCCTCATTCAATTTCCAATATTTGCCCCTTTTATGAAAGAGCACTCTGCGGCTCAGACGGCATCAAAAGCCTCTGAGGAAATCACCTCAAGTACATTCTTAAAATGATTACAAATCACCACTGGGCCTCCGTGGAGGCTTGTGGGGGCCCAGAGGACCACAGATGCACACGAATAACTCCAACTACTAACTGATTGTAGTTTTGAACTTAATTCGCCCTTTTGAGGGATGATGGTTGTGAAAATGAAAAGTTAAAATGTGAAGAGAAACAATTGTGCAGTACAACTTTACATTATAGGAACCCATCCCAAAAGCCCTGATCTTGTAGAGTGTATTATTCCATGTATTACACAGAAATGGTTTAAAAGGGGAAACATGCTTCGTTGAGGCTACAGAGTGTGTGCAAAAACTCGTTTTTTTATCAGTAAATTCCTGCCATGATACAATCAAATATGTTAAATCAAGTGAATCATGTGTAGCTAACAGACCTTTGTTCTGGGGTTAAACATATTCCCATTGATACGCATGTTTGTAATGCAACACCAGATGTCCTGCCACAAATGGCTAAATCCTCAGTAATATCAGCCTAATGATTCACACCCTTTCAGGGTCTCTTCTCATGCAAACTAAGGGATCATTATGCAGCACGCAGCACCGGGCCCAGAAGCGAGCATCCACTGCTATCACCGCCGCATTGTTTATCCCTAATTAGAAACTAATTAAAAGAAAGCAAAGGGAAAAGACAAATACACACATTTAGACCTAACTCTTTAATATGCAATTGGGGGTCTTACTGGGGCTGAAACAACAAGCTTAGCATAATGCCGGCCAGACGACTCAACACCCTGGTTGTCTCCTACTAAGGCTAACATGTGGAGGATTAATGTGGGGTCACAGTGGAAACTGCTCTCCTCCTGTGGTACATGAAGGATTTTAGTCGAAAATAATGAATATAATATAATCACTGGAAAATTTGCGACCAGATTTATTGCTCAGATAATCAAATTAGAATAAAAAAGATTTCTTATTTTTTTCAAAAACTTGCAATAATAATGTAGATTACTAATTACAGTAAATATATTGTAATTTTACTTATATACTAATAATCAAGGGTGCAATTAACTAACTAATTAAATAATCACTTATTAATCTGCTGATTGTTTTCTCAATTAATCATTTTGGCAGAAACAATTCAGAATTTCCCAGAGTCCAAGTTGACATCTTCAAGTCTTTTTTCAGTCTAAAATCCAAAGACATTCAATTTGCTGTCGCAGAGAACAACAACCAAATTAATAAAACAACCAAACAATATGTTTGAAAAGGCAAACCCTGTGACTTCTTTGCACTTTTCTTTTAAAAAATTGCTTAAAACTCTATTATCAAACTAGTTGCAGATTACTTTTCTTGCTGTAATTTTAATTCTAATTCTAATTGTTATCAATTAATCGTATAATTGTTTCAGATATTCAGTAATTATTTATTCAATACGGATAAATGATTGGTGGATCATTTAGGAATAAAAGTCTTCTTTTTGGTTACTATTTGTTGATGAGATGTTACAAAACTAAGTCAGAGCAGGTTCACAAAGTGCTGGAGTTAAACAGCCATAAGTGCAACAAGGATAATGTCTAAAACATATCTTTTTCTGCAAAGAATGAAACTCATCAGACCATCAAACCATCCAAATTCAGTCGACAGATACGTGCCGACAATGTAGGAATGCAAGCTTTGAATGAACAAGAAGTTAAAACATGAAGCCGAAGTGAATCTTCATTTAGATTTAAGACATTCACCTGATTTTCTGACCGATTCCAGAAATGTTACTTCCCACACAGCCAAGACTGAAATAGTCAAAATGCTAAAAGCCTCAACCTCCAGGATTCCCCATTTTTAAAACATCTCATAAAGCAAACATTTCTTTAACCAAGAATCAGTGAAAACCCTCAAACATGACCAAACCAACAATCTCTCTGCACCATTGAAAACCTGACCCACAGTCTGCCGTCCCTCTGCTGGACTCACCGTTGGAGGTCGGTACATGTGTGGCCACGGCCATCAGAGCCATCAGTGCCAGCAGCTTGACATCCATGGTGGTGGGCTAGCAGGCTGCAGGAGGGCTGCTCTCTCTCTGCTACAATCCAGGGCGCAACTGTGGCCGCCAGCTCTGCTCTGTACCGTGTTAAGTCTTCAGATGGGAGAGAGAGAGAGAGAGAGAGAGGGAGGAGGGAGTCCCATTTTCCCAGGAGGGAGGAGGCAGGGTCCCAGCATGAGAGGAGAGGAGGGGAGGAGATGAGGGGAGGAGAGGAGGGGAGGAGAAGGAGGGAGCAGCAGTGAGTTCAGTTTGGAGACTTCCTCGATTGTAAATGTGTTGGCTGGGAATCAAGGAGAAAGTCTAAGGGAAGTCTCTCTCCCTCCCTCCCTTTCTCTCTCTTTTTACTGATTTCTCTCCTTTCTTTACCTCTAAACCATAAGCCTTACCCTTGTTTTAGACCAAGTCTACAATCTAAAATGTAATGATTTATGTGGGGACGTGCATTTTGTCCTCACAAGGAAGGCGAGTCCCCACAATGTGACTGTGTAAACAGATATATGTCCCTACAAGACAGGTAAAACATGATGACACACACACACACACACACACACACACACACACACACACACACACA